CCGCACAGCCAAATTGAGGAAAGCTCATACCTTACGTAGCAGTCGGCGTTGGCAGCTGTGAATTTGTTGGTACGATCCTATGCGTAAGTCCAGCCTGGTTTGCGAGTGGGAACAGAAGTGCCGACTCCTTTGTAATGGGAAGGAGCTGGAGGGAGCAAGAAGGGCGGGTTCAGTAGCTGGTGCTTGGGTGTGGTCAGCTGGTCTGGGCTGGATGCAGGTGCACTGTGGGTCTAAACCACTGAGCCTCTTGGGCTTGCATGATCAGAAGGATTCGAGCGGCTTAGAATCCCCATAGGACGCAGTGAGCTGCTGTTTCTCTGTCCCAAGTCTCCTGCAACACGCAGTTCGAAAAACATACCCAGTGCGAGTAAATAAATAGGTACAGCAGCAGCGGGGAAGGTAAATGCGTTTCCTCGTGCGCTCTGGTTTCCGTCATGGTGTCCCGTGCGCCAGAAGCAGTTTGTCATGCTGTCTGTGGGACAATAGCCAGCTCCCTCGGCCCTAAAAGTGAGATGGAACCCCATAGTCGCCTTCACTGGACTTAACATATTTTCTCTCTATTAGGACGCCACTTTTTCCCCTCCAAAATAGGGGAATGTGTAAAGTGGAGCGAATACAGGCTCCTTGGCTTTCAGCATAGCAACGCGAGCCTCCCAAAGCACAGAGGGGGCGCTACCAGGCTTTCAGGGATCTCCACGAGTTCTCCACTGCGCCTCCGGAGGCTTCAGGTTCCTTTCGCTGAAAGCCGGGAGAACAAGACTCTCCCGGCTTCAGCAGAGAGGGAGAGCTGCGCAGCTCTCCTTCAGCCAAGGGGAGGAGAAATGGAAGGGGCTCTGTTTCTCCTGCCGCTTCGCTGAAGGGGCGCTGAGCAGAGAGGGGAAGATTATTTTTTCTTGTTCTCCCCCTCCAAAACAAGGTGCATCCTATGGTCCAGTGCGTCCTATAGAGCGAAAAATATGGTAACCGTCTAGGGGTTCTTTACCTTTTTACCTGGGCTGGCCTGGGAGCAGGAAGCAGTCGGCAAAAACTTCCCACTGACACCTTTCTCTCCATGGGCCGGGTATCCTGAGCAGTCCCCACACACTCAGTGGAATTTGTCTCATGCCCTTTCTTTGTTTTCCAAATCCATTTTATCAAAATTTGGGGGGAAAAGAAATACAAAAATTAGTATCACGTGTCTTTCTTTTTTAATCAAAGCTAAAAAGCTAATCCAAATAAAAACGCAGACCAGAAAAGGAGAGAGAGAAAGATAGAAAGGAAAAAGGGGGAAAGAAAAGAAAGAAAGAAAGAAAGAAAGAAAGAAAGAAAGAAAGAAAGAAAGAAAGAAAGAGAAGGGGGGGACAGAAAAGAAAGAACTTCTGATTCTTCATCCATCAGCCGTATGAAGAAAATATTCAGCACATCCACTCCAACACCCAACAAATCTACTTTCTATAAACTACAATCATGCCTTGGATCTCAAATGCTTTGGCTCCCGAACAAATCGGCTCCCGAAGGATCAACACCCGGAAGTGAGTGTTCCGCTTTTTGAATGATTTTCGGAAGCCGAACATCCGGCGCAGGAGCTTCCTTCAGTCAATCAAAAGCCATGCTTTGGTTTCCAAGCATTTGGAAGTCTAAGGGACTTCCAGAACTTATTCCCTTCAACTTCCAAGGTATGACTGCAGTCTCGTGTCCTTTCAAAATATGGTGCCGATTGCCTTTTTTTGACAACACAGAGCTGCCTCGTTGACCGCTTTGGCCGGAGGGTTCTCCTGTGGGGCGGCTTCGCCGATGATGGGGCTGGTGATGGTGCTCCTTGTCCTGGCCCTGTCTTTCCAGGTGAGCAGAGTCCAGCCTCGGTTTCCTCTTCCTTCTCCTCTGGGGGTGTCCATTTGTCAGTGATTCGCTACCTGTGATTCCTGCATTGCGGGGGGTTAGACTAGATGAACCTTGGTGTCCCTTCCGACTCTCTGGTTTTATATTGTGATAGCTACTAAATCTGCTGTGCCCATGGACCATTTGGATAGCAAAAGACATCGCAGCATCGTGGGCGAGAGAGAGAGGAAAAAATACACATTCTTTGGAAGAATCCCATGCGCATCACAATTGTTTTTAACAGGACTTCCCTTCCTTCCTTCTTGCTTCCCAGGGCCAGTTCCCCTGGATTTCCTTTGGCAGCATCGCCCTCATATTTTTGTTCACCCTCTCCTATGGTCTTGGCCCATGTGAGTAAATCTGGAACAGGGCTCGCAGAGGGTGGGGTGGAGCCAGAATAATAATTATAATAATTTATTATTTATACCCTGCCCATCTGGCTGGGTTTCCACAGCCACTCTTGGTGGCTCCCAACAGAATAATAATAATAATAATAATAATAATAATAATAATAATAATAATAAAAATAAATAAATAAATAAATAAAGTGATAAAACATCAAACATTAAAAACTTCCCTAAACAGGGCTGCCTTCAGATGTCTTCTGAAAGTCAGATAGTTGTTTATTTCCTTGACATCTGATTGGAGGGCGTTCCACAGGGCAGGCGCCACTACCAAGAAGGCCCTCTGCCTGGTTCCCTGTAACCTCACTTCTCTCAGTGAGGGAACCGCCAGAAGACCCTCAGAGCTGGACCTCAGTGTCCGGGCTGAATGATGGGGGTGGAGACACTCCTTCAGGTATACTGGGCCGAGGCCGTTTAGGGCTTTAAAGGTCAGCACCAACACTTTGAATTGTGCTCGGAATCATACTGGGAGCCAATGTAGGTCATTCAGGACCAGAGTTATATGGTCTTGGAACAGTTTCTGCCAGTGGCTTCTAGTCAGAGTTTTGTGTCGGCAAACTCCACAGAGAAATCTGAATTGCAAAAGACCCTCCATATTTCCTCTTTCAGCTGGTGCCATCTTCGCGGTTATAATGGAGATTTTTGGCCAGTCAGTAAGGCCATCGGCATTGACCATCATTGGAATAGTCAGCTGGGTGGGCCTCTTCCTGGTCGGGATGACGTTTCCTTTTCTTGTGGTGAGTTGCCCCCTTTGCCCGACGTCTGCCCAAGGCATTTCGCTGCCTGAAGCAGGACACAAAATAGCCAACCCCCCTTGCTTATTTTCCCAGTGCACCCAGCCAACCAGCTCTCCCGTGTGTGTGTTTGGGTCTCCCTTGGTTTTCATGCAAATCCCCATGCCTGAGACAAACAAAACCCTGACAGGCCCAGTCAGCCGCAAAGCTTCTCCTTGTTCTACTTCATGACACAAGCGAAGTTGCTGTTATTGTTCAGGTTCTCCTCCCTCCTGTGTGTGGTGAGTGGAGACCCTGTTGCAACAGTTCCTTGAATAAAGATCAGGCTTACTAGCTGCTTTGCTTCTCAATATACCGTGTTTTTCGCTCCATAAGACGCACCTGACCATAAGACGCACCTGACCATAAGACGCACCTAGTTTTTAGAGAGGGAATGCAAGGGAAAAAATATTCTTTAAAGGGAGCGCTGAACAGAGCCTGTATACATCCCAGGCTCTGCTCAGCGCTCCCTTTCATGAGCCGCGTGGAGCATGTGTGCAGCACTTGCAAGCTTTTCCCCAAGAAGGGAGAACAGCAGGCTGTCACTGATGGGCTGCCCTTCTCCCTCCTTGGGGAAAAGCCCCCAAGAGCCGTACACACGCTCCGCGCAGCTCTTTAAAGGGAGCGCGGCTCTTGCAGGCTTTCTGGGAGGTGGGGAAAGGGACAGAGCCGTGTACTCTGTCCCTTCCCCCACCCCCCGCAAAAGCCAGGGATAGCTGCGTGAAGCCTCCTCAGGGCAGCGGGATGAAGGCTCCCCGTGCCCTGCGGAGGCTTCATGCGGCTAAGCCGGAAACTAGAACAGCAAGAGGGAGCACTGCGCAGTGCTCCCTCTCACTGTTCTGGCTTCTGGGATAGCCGCGCAGCCTGCATTCGCTCCATAAGACGCACACACATTTCCCCTTACTTTTTAGGAGGGAAAAAGTGTGTCTTACAGAGCAAATAATAATAATAATAATAATTTATTTATACCCCGCCACTCTGGGCAGCTTCCAAAAAAATATTAAAATACTGTAATACATCAAACATTAAAAGCTTCCCTAAACAGGGCTGCCTTCAGATGTCTTCTAAAAGTCTGGTAGTTGTTGTTCTCTTTGACATCTGGTGGGAGGGCGTTCCACAGGGAGGGCGCCACTACCGAGAAGGCCCTCTGCCTGGTTCCCTGTAACTTGGCTTCTCGCAGTGAGGGAACCGCCAGAAGGCCCTCGCTGCTGGAACTCAATGTCCAGGTAGAACGATGGGGGTGGAGACGCTCCTTCAGATATACGCTCCTTCAGATATACAGTACTCTGGTTGGCCTCTGCTATTTTCTCCTACCAATAGGGAACCCACTTAAGGACTCTCTATGGGCTCTGGACTACCCCATAAGGGAAAGGGAGAGGTTTTTCTCCTTTCTAGGAGGCTCTACTGAGGCACCTCACATGTGCCTGGTTTTCCTTTCTCCAGGAGGTCCTCGGCCACTTCTGCTTCCTCTTCTTCTTCGTTGTGCTCCTCGTGGTGGGGATCTTCATCTACAGGTACCTGCCAGAGACAAAGGGAAGGTCCATCAGCGAGATCACCGAAGAATTCAAAAGGATGCGTTTGGGGAAGAGAATGGCTATCACCGCTCGGGGAAAGATGGCCGCCACCGACCACAGTTTTTGTACCAAGTTGTGATGGCAGCTGCTGTTTGGGTGAAGTGGGCCCTCAGGGCCAACAGGAGGGGGAGAGTAAACTCTTAGCAGGCTGGTGTTTCCGAATGCCAGTTGAATCAGCTGCCGGGCGGAAGGTGAACAAGGCGTTGAGGGGGAACAGAAGGCTTCCTTCTCCAGCTGCGCTTCTGAATACTCTTCTGAAGCTAGCATTTGCATTGGGAAAGGGGGCTTCTCCCATTGGTGCCAGTGAGAGCCCCCCCTCTTGAAAAGAAAAGAAAAAAGAAAGCAAATGCCAGCTTCGGAAAATGAATTCTTCTCAAAACTAAGCCTATCCTTTTGTTTAGGAGTCGGACATGACTAAACAACAAGAACAAAATTCCGACACATTGATGTTGACATGTTTTAATCTCTATTTTTCTGTTATTTTTTAATTATCTTACAATGTTTTCCAGTGTTTTTAATGATAGTTTTAATATTTATTGTAAACGGCTTAGAGGTTTTGCTACAATCATGCGGTGTATAAATTTTGTTGAAATGAATAAGTAAAGAAATCAAAGCAGAAGGGGAAAGGGTTAAATTTGTCCCGCCCTGCCTGCTCTGATCCCAGCCCCAGCCCTAGCACAATTTGCATTCTTTAAAAATCCATGCATTGCTGCAAAGAGGCTTTTAACTGCATGCCTGGAGTCCAGGGTTGGCCCTTATTTGAAGAATCCCTATGATCTGGAGTTGTTAATCCTGTTCTTGCTTTACCATGAGGGGCAGGGGGGGGGGCTTTTGTTTACTGCAAGCAACATTGCTGAGTTTTCCATGAGCAGAGTCAACTGCATAAATTAGGGACTGGTTACTTGGCGATTTTTAGCAATGTAGGTGGAACAGAAGCTGAGTTCTCATGCTTGGGATAGTTTTTCCAGTTTGAAACACATCAAAATAAAGGCTGAATTCTTGGGGTAGATAGGAAAGGAAACCCATGGCTAGGTATGGGTACCTGGGCGTAGCCTGGTATTTTTTTTGCGGGGGGGGGGGGAGGACTTTGTTAGGGAGAGCAGAACTGACATGATTGGCCAGTTAAGTATTTCTATTGTTTTACTTGATCTAGGAGGGGCTGCTGCTCCCCCCACCCCATGGCAACGCCCATGTTTGGGGAGCCTAGAGGTGTGCAGAGGTAAAAGGTGGGGAGGCTTCTCAGGGCCCCCTTAATTTTTCACCTTCCTTCTGAAACTATGAGTACAGTAGTAAGGTAAAGGTAAAGGGACCCCTGACCATTAGGTCCAGTCGTGGCCGACTTTGGGGTTGCGGCGCTCATCTCATTTTATTGGCCAAGGGAGCAGGCGTACAGCTTCCGGGTCATGTGGCCAGCATGACTAAGCCGCTTCTGGCGAATCAGAGCAGCACACAGAAACGCTGTTTAGCTTCCCTCCCGAGCGGTACCTATTTATCTACTTGCACTCTGCCGTGCTTTTGAACTGCTAGGTTGGCAGGAGCAGGGACCGAGCAACAGGAGCTCACCCTGTCGCGGGGATTCGAACCGCCGACCTTCTGATTGGCAAGTCCTAGGCTCTGTGGTTTAACCCACAGCGCCACCCGGGTCCCGAGTACAGTGGTACCTCGGTTTGAAAACAGTCCTGTTTAAGAACGATTCGGTTGACGAACTCCACAAAACCGGAAGTAGTGTCCCGGTTTTGCAAACTTTACCTCGGTCTAAGAACGGAATTTGAATGGTGGAAGGGCACCGGCGGCGGGAGGCCTCATTAGGGAAAGCGCACCTCGGTTTAAGAACGGTTTCTGTTTAAGAAAGGACTTCTGGATTAAGTTTGTAAACCGAGGTACCACTGTACAGTATCGGAAACGTGTTCTGCTGTTTCACTGGTAAGCTTGCAGTAAACTGCAACCCCATTTCAGCCTCATCCTTGCTGGAAGTCAGATGACGCCCATTTTCTTTGAATCCCAACCTGTCTGTTCTCGTCTCCCAGACATTTTTTTTTGGGGGGGGGGGGAGGCCACTGTGTCCCATTATTCCTGGGGAGGCTTCTATGAACAAGACTTCAAGCTCTGACTGACAAGTTCCACAAAGCATCGAAGTATTTTGTGGGATACGTGAACTTGTAAAACGAAACCCGAGAATAAAGGAAGATCCACACACGTTTGTGCTTGCTCTGTTTCTTGATTGTAGAATTATAGGGTTGGAAAGGGACCCCAGCGGTAATCTAGTCCAACCCCTTGCAACGCAGGGGGTCTTATCGCATACATGGAAGAAATCTCCAGTTCCTGTTTTCAAAAGCACTTCGGAATGACCCCTTAAAGCATCAGCGGGGAGCTGCCAAAGATGTCAAATTGCCCTTAAGCGAACCCATCGCCAGGCTTCACCTCGATCACCTAATAATGCTGCTGAATGCAAAAACTTATGGAATATGCAGAAACGGCGAAACTTTTACCGGAAGAATAAGACATCAAAACCACAAACTTTCAATAAGAGAGTGGAAATGGTTTATTGGATATTCACAGATAAATTGTAAACAGATACGAACATTGGCAGGATGATTGCAATAACCTGCAGTTTTGTAAGAGTATATATTTAAAGTGGATGAACAAATGAGCAAATGAAGTTCATTTGGATATGCAGAAGGTATTAAGAATAAATTTAAGGAACCGCAGAAAGAGGGGGAAGGAAGTCAAGTTTTGAAATGTTAAGATGATTGTAAAATTAGTGAAATGTATAAGCCTGAAAAGCATAAATAAAATTAAAAGGGGGGAAAATAGTGCTGCTGTTACAGGGAAATTACAGTGGGGGAATAGGGATTGGGTCCCTGTCGTGTGGGCCCAAGAAATCTCCAATCTGCCCTAGGGAGTGAGTGAATACAATAGGCTGGAGAAGAAGGGGAGACCCATTTTGGCCGGCAAACCCAGTTGCTGGGTCTTAGTAAGATCTTCCAAATACCGTACTTTCCCGTGTATAAGACTAGGGTTTTTTACTTTAAAATTATGTGGAAAAACAGTGGGTCGTCTTATACACAGGGCAATCTCCCCCCTATTTTCTTAAATTGGGGTTCCTAAAAATAGGGGACGTCTTATACATGGTGGCATATTTTTTTTTAAAAAAAATTAATATTAAGAATTTCAACATAACAAATTATCAAAACATATCTTCATTATTTCCCCCCATTTTCCCCCTCCCCAAAAAAGACCCTCCCCCCCCAAGACTTCCCTCAGCTCCTTTCTCTGATTTTTCAACCCGTTATTCTCTGCATATTGTAAAATTGTAAAGATCCTTAAATTATCTGTCTGTTATGTTAACAATCAACAAATTTGTGTATGTTTATTCAAAATACATGGGGGCATCTTATACTGTACATGGAAAAATACGGTAAATATTCGGAAGATTCTGCTTATATGGAGCCTGGAATTTGCAGCAGGAAATGCTCTGCAGAGACTTCAGGTGCGACAGACTGAGACCAAAACTGATGGGCAGCAGATAAGGCTGTTGTCACCGGGCTGGGTGGGTGGGGAGGATGACGCCGGCGGCCAACGTGACTGGTCCTCGTGTCTCGATTTCACACCTGGGTGAGTTTTACCTTTTGCCCAATGGAGCTTTCTAGTCTTGGGCTGTGTATGTAATTAATGGTTGATCGAAACAGGCATGAAGGGCACAGCCAGGCAGTTAATTTTAACTCTGGTGTCATGGTTTCCGCCCAAGCCGCCCACATGGCAGCGAAGGAGCCTGAGACACACCTGCCCTTCCAGCCGGACTCCCCTTCCTCCTTTCCTTCCCCTCCGAAAGCCGCTTTCTGGTGCAGAATGGAGGGCCGGTTCTCTGGGCTGGTGAGTAACACGGGCTTTGTTAAGAGGGTGGTTACGGGAGGAGGAATTAGCTCCCAGGTTGGTCTGCGAGAGCCCCCCCCCAGGAAGACGAGCGTTCCTTCTCAGGCTCTACTCAGTTGGGGGGACCAGATACCTCATCCTCTCCAGCCCAGTCCAGCCCAGCCTGCCTACTCCTCAGTGTGAATCACGAGGCTGTGGGTCAATTGCTGCGGTCAAAGTCGGGGTCAGGCTGCCCTCAACCTCATCCACCTCCCCCCCTGGTAGGAAAGTGTGCTGTCTCATCTGCAGGCCTGCCCTCCCCCCCACATTATTTTGGTTTGGACCAGGCATAGGCAAAGTCCGGCCCTCCAGATGTTTGGGACTACAATTCCCATCATCCCTGACCACTGGTCCTGTTAGCTAGGGATGATGGGAATTGTAGTCCCAAACATCTGGAGGACCAGAGTTTGCCTGGTTTGGACCCAAGTGAGCTCTGGCTGGCAGTTCCTCGGGGCTTCCTTTTCAATTTCTAGAAGGTTCTAGAAGTCCTGATATAAGATGGTGCTAACCACATCTGTCCGAACTTCTCTCCTCCTCACACCCTCCCTGATCTTTGGCCTCATAATGTTAAAGCGTCAAACAAAAATGATCATTCCAAAATCAAAGTTGAGCTCTCTTTTTCTGTGTGTGTGTGAGAGAGAGAGAGAGAAAAGCTAGCCAGCAATAAATCACACAGAGTCCATGAAGTTAACTCTTTATTAGCAGAAACCACGCCAGCTCAGAGGAGACAGGCATAATGAGCACAACTCTTCTCGGTAGGTCTTGCTGTCCCTATGAGGCAGTTGCAAATGCTGAAGACCTCCGCCATCCCATAGCTAACTAAGTATCCTCCTCTCCTGGGTCCTTCCCAAGCAATCTGAGCTCCTCCCTCTTCATAACTTCTGGTCCTGGGAGACCGGTGGGGAGGGGAGCTTGTTGCAGCAGGAGGGGGAGACACCCTGGCTTCTTCACCAGCCTGACTCATCTCTACCTCTTGGCCTCCCTCCTCTCTTGCTTCTGCCTCTGATTCTGGACTTCTCTCTTTTCACAGCAAGGGCGTCCCAAATACCACCCCGTCCCCTGCATCACCTCTGAGCATGGCCCCCTGAGATTTGAACCCATTTTCTATGGGCACTTTGAGGAAGGGTGACGGGTGGCCTTTCTTTCCTCCAGGCTCTTGTGTCTTTTGTCTCCCACCGCAGATTCGGCACCGGAAGTTTTACCAAATGATCCTCGTGCTGGGGATTGGTGGCAACCTCCAGATTGGCTATCAGATTTCTGTGATCAACTATCCCTCCATGGTAAGCAGCCCCTTAAGCAGCTGCACCCGGTGGAGGGGGTGAGCAGGAGCAACGACTGACCAAACAGCCTGCCTCCTCTCCACCAAGCGATGCTCACCCTGGTTACATTCCATAGCTGCCTCCTGCTCCATCCATGGTCCAGGAGGAGGCAGAAGGTGATGAAGGAAGACTTTCTTTCCATAGGTTTAGCTGGTCAAACAGAATTGATTTGCTGGTGCCTCAGTTTGAGACTGGGGAGGAAGGGAACTGAATTGGATTTAAGATTAACACACCCCCCCGGCTTATTCAGAAGGCTTTTAACCAGGGTAGCAGATAAGCTGCATCTTCAAAGCACATTTCCTGCCCAAAGTATCCCAGTCATACCTCGGGTTGAAGTAGCTTTGGGATGAATATTTTCGGGTTGCGCTCCACGGCGACCCGGAAGTAACAGAGTGCGTTACTTCCGGGTTTCGCCGTTTGCGCCTGCGCAGATGCTCAAAAGGACGTCACGCGCATGCGTGGAAGCGGCGAATCGCGCCCCGTGCATGCGCAGACGCGGGTTGCGTTTGCATCTAGAGGTACCAGTGTAATTCATTAAGGGTGTTGGGAATTGTAACTATGTGAGGAGTAAACTATAGTTCCCATTATTCTTGGGCGGGGGGAGGTGCTTTGAAGGAAGTACCCCCCCACACACACACACACACCAAGGGGGTACTCAAGAGTACGCAGCAGGGGCACCTCTCTTTTTTGTTAAAATGTGTGGCACTTACTGTAACAATTTCATGGTGATTACGGGCACCTCTTTTTCTAGAAAAAAAGCACTGTTTGGAGGTACAGTGTATATACCAGTTCTAGCTGGACTGAGCAGGAGCTGAGGCTTGCAGTAACT